GCGGTATTTGTCATTAGAGCACCTGGTCCATACACAAATATGTCACTCTGTGGTTGTATTTATATTGAAACTACAATTCGAACATCCTAGAAAACCTAACCTGCTGTTAATGCAGGTAGAATATTCTCACCACATGGATTATTTGTCAATATTTATTGCATTGCATACATATGGCACGGCATTGGTGGTTACTTCACATGTTTATTTGAGTTGATTGTTTCGGTTGCAGAAAAAATAGCATGTTTCATTCGGATCAAAAGTGACTTTGTTCGACTCGCAAATTTTGCTTTCGCTCGGCTTCGCTAAACGCTCCGCCTCGCAAATGCAAAATTCGCTTGTCAAACAAAGTGTCACTTTTGATCCTAATGAAACAATCTACTATTTTCGTCGGTTTTCGCAGATAATTCCAAATCTACGCAATCCTCGTTATCTAGACCTGTTCTAGGGTAGTCAGCCTTTGGCGGACTGGTACTTTACATGAGTCATGAAGTGTCATGAACAAAGGTGCTCCGCGGTTTAGTGTCAGTCTCCTTTAGTAATAGCTCAGAGGGTAGTGCTTTAGCTCTTGTTTGCTGAGACTCACTAGCTTCTCGTTTACCTGGAGGTGCTCAACAAGTAGTAGGATTTTTCACCTAATTCTCATTTTCTGAGCTCTGGGATAGGGTGGCATTTGCTTGTCTCACAGAAAGGTAAAATGTGAGCTCTGCACTTTTTTGCTAGGCCTCATTCCCTTGACGCCATGGAACCTACATGAGCGAGAATTGATTCTTATACTTATTCATACATACATACATACAAAATGTTCAAAGAATACCCTATAGCATTTGGAATTATTGTATTGCAATTATAACAACTATAATTCCAGCGTACTGAAATTTAATTTTTTTCTGTCCCCCACCCCACAGAATACAAAAACAAAACAATGAGCTATTTATACGTTTTAGAGTTTTTATGGATATAGGTTCATATGATCCAAATCATATAAGTTGAGAGGATGGACATGAGTGTGGTAACTATGACTACAAGACATCTCCAAGTCCGATTGCTCTAATAGCCGTTCATCTTTTTTCATAATGACGAAATTTACATGAGTTCGATAGGAAATTTGATGCTCTTGCAATATGTGCATGATGCTATGTCTCTGAGTAATACGTAAAATATTAATTATCTGCGAAAACCGACGAGAAACGCTATTTTTTGAAAAGTACCCAAATTTGGTCAATTTTCAACTGGCTCTATCTCCGCACCCTTCAGTCCTACATTAATGAGCAAGAACAATTTTATCTAGTAAATTTTATCTACTTCAACTTCTTATGGAACGGTCTTCTCGATATAATGTATGATTTCCGAGTTACGGGCAAAAAACCGAAAAAAGTGCGGACATTTCGCTGATTTTTACTCATATCTCGGAACGCACCAGGGAATTTTGTTTGCAAAAGTCAGATTCGGATTTAGCACCTCCAAAAACAAATAAAACCACAGAGAAACCGACTACCTGAATTTTTTCCCGAATTGGGTCCTAATCGTTACCGTTTTACCGAGCTAATAATATGGGCTCATCCATTAACGAGATCGCACTGAATTCCACGGAGCATGCGCATTTAGTTAGGATCTGCCAATCTAACTCATGTTTTCGAATACCAAATCGTTTTCAAGCGAGCAATTAGATTTGACTCCAAATTTAATGTAGGTGTTTTCAAGACTTCCATTGAGATTACTCAATAACCCAAATTACAATAATTTTGAAATTTTAGGGCTTTCTCAGTCTCCTACTCTCTGTTTTCCCGTGAGAAATCTGTCAAACAGAGATAATATGTAAAACTTTTTTTCCGTCACAGAAAAAATAATTAAAAAATATCGTAAAGTGATTTGAACCAATCTAAATATTATACCATGGTCCGAAAACAAAGCCTGCCTATTCCATATTTCTGGAAATTCTCGAGGTATAGAATTGGAATTCCTAGGACTAAAATGAAATTTTTTTGTTCTACACGGTGAAATATCCTATTGAGTGAAGCTTTTCGTATAAATAGAAATGCACAATTAGTTTCATCAAGAACATAAATCTTGTTGAATTTCAGTCAAAATTGTGTAGGTAGGTATATGATTTCTAGAATATTTCTAATACTCCTGAGACATTTTGTGTCAATATAATTCAAAGGGTAGCTATAAAATAGTAACTCAATCCGGTGGGGATCTGGATTGACACCAAGTTGAGTGGTCCTGGAGTTGCCATCAACTCCAAAATTTTCACCGTGTATTCAATAACGCTAATGAAAACACAATAATTAAACTTCCGCTTCAACCGGAAATTAACTCTACTTAAATGGAACATTCATATTGAGTTTGTGTATATATTACAACATTTCATACAGGGTGGTCCAAATTTTTGTAAATAAATCTATAGATCGCTCCATGTGGTGAATGTAGGAGTAAGTATAGTCTGATATACCGTAGCCATCAATTTCGGAGTCCCACAAGGATCTATTTTGGCACCAACATTGTTACTACTCCATATCGATGGTCGATGAGCAAGTGAACACTTGCCATATCCTCCAGCTTTGCAGATGACAGTACTCTTCATATTGTGTTTTCTCCAAGAACTATCATTTCATTCCACGAAACTAAGAATTCTCGACGAAAGCAGGCCAACGCAGACAGTGTAGATCTTGCCGAAATCACAAACTAGCTGAATTCAACGCCACCAAAACTCAATCCCTACGCCATTTTCTCTAGAAAAGCCGAACTCAATATGCCTGGTAGAGCAATCATTGATACTCTGTCAGGGGAAAATCATTTCAAATCCATGGTGGAAGCTGCTTCACGAAAACTCGAATTTCATTCCGAGCACAGAACATACCATATACCTTAGCAGCTTCTTATATGATCTACAGAGTACAGATCCGGCCCGTTTCAAAATACTGTTCCCACACAAATGGGGTCCAGCAGCCACACATTTTTTTTTTCAATTAATACATCCATGGGAAATGTTATTCAGTCAGACGAATTCGACAAGCAAAGTCAGCACATCCGTTTGTCGTCACCTCGAGATAAGTGAAACGACTCTGTATCAAAACTCGTTTGCCTACAGAACAAAAAACTATTGGAATCATTTCTAGAGGAAGTATACTCAAGAACTCTTAGGCTCTATAAATTTATGGTAACGAAAAACTACACCACCCTCTATAGGGTGTTTCAATTTAAAAATCAAGTTCAGTTTTCTGCCCCTATATGTAATAGTGTTTCAATTGATAAATCAAGATTATAGTTAAATGCTAGTTCAAGATTTTCGTCAGAATAGAAATGAACAATTTGTTTCATCAAGAACTCAAATTTTGTTGGAACTGTGTCAAAATTGTGTACATGATTTCTCGAACATTTTCCATATTTCTGAGACAATTTGTGTCAGTATAATTTTAACAGTTTTACCGTGTAGAGCAAAACATTGTATTTCAGTCCTATAAAAATAAAGGCTTTTTTTTGGAACGAACGGTATATCGAAATATCCGCATGAATCAGAAGAGGGAAATTAATCGGGCTTCCAGAAGACGCTTCTGAACGAAAATATGCATGATGACTAAGCTCAATCTTTTTCTATATTTGAAACATTCACCACACATTTTTGTGTCACACTTTTTATGCTTCTCGAATTTCGCACACAATAATTCTATGCCCACTTTTTCTACAGAAATAATTATTGCTGACTAGAAGAATAAACAATATTTATGTATCCCTGTGTATCAATGAAGGCTGTATCAAAAAACAGGTGCCATCGCTCGTGGGACTCAATGCTCAAAAATTAGAAAAAATCCCCAGCATAATCTTATCGAAGGCAAATGTTTTTGGATATGTTGTGTTGTTTTGAATTTGTTCTCAGATATGTGTGAGACACTTTGTGAAATGGAGAGACATCACTTTGTGAAATTGTGAGACACAGGTATAAGAGAACGAAATGTTATCGACATACTCTTTTATCAATGATTATGATCCTTTGGTTGATCACAGATAAAAACAAAAATATTTCTGAATAATTGATTAAAATGTATGTATCTTTGAACTTCCCTTCCTCGTACAAAGTGATCGATAATAGTGATGGAAAACCCAATTAATCGCAACCTGATGGGCAAGAATTTTCAATTTTCAATGATAGTATCATCTACAGCCATGTATCACCTACCCTGGAGAAAATGAAGTCGTATTCATTAATTATCCTTTAGAGTCTAGACTCTAGATAGAGTAAATAATTATGATAATCATGAGGATTTCATGATATACCTGATATTCATGAAGGACTTCCACATAAGCAACCTGTAAGCATGCTTGCATATGATGCGATTCCTACAAACTTGTCTTATACTCAAATCACTGACAGTTCTAAAGTTTTTTGAAATTTACTGATATTGCGAAGTATTCCTATATACTGCTTGTGCCAAAAAATCAGGGGATTAGGATGTAGAACTTAAAGAAATAACACATTTTCAGATGGCCGTCGCATAACTTTTCAATATTTTGTAAATCTGTACTCTGCTTGTGTACAAACTTGCCAAGAAACTGGTTCTGTTTTGTCATTTTCGGAATTCATGGCACAGATGATAAGTTTCGATATAAAGTTTAATTTTGTCCCAGCTAATAACTTCATATCCTGCGGTCACTCAAACGAGTGAATGTAGAAGAAATCGCATTCTGATTCATCCCAAGCCTAAATATAACAATTTATATTGATTACCCGTACTTCACTTAACCCTTCATCTTGATTTCACACTTTTTAGTATAATTTGAGTCACGTAAGAGTTTGGGAAAAACATTAAGAGTAAATAGGCAGCTTGATGATGTAGCCAAACCTTCCAGCCGAATGTCTCAAAGTGTCAAATCTGTGAGGTGTTCTCTGAATTGAGCAAAGTGTTTTCCACATAAGCACAATGCAATTTCAAATCAATGGTATACCCCTCAAGCTCTCACCACACATATCCAACACCGGTGACACTTTCGATATCTTCCAGGTGATAGCCATCGTTTCCATCTTGTTTATAGTACTATCAACCATAGCACTGACACTCAACACCATTCCAAGTATGCAAGTGTACGATGAGAAAGGTAACTTCCAAGACAATCCGCAGCTAGCGATGGTGGAAGCCGTCTGTATCACGTGGTTCTCATTGGAGTACATCCTCAGGTTCAGTGCGTCTCCCAACAAGTGGAAGTTCTTCAAGGGGGGGCTGAATATCATAGACTTGCTAGCCATCTTGCCTTATTTCGTGTCGTTATTCCTGTTAGAAACGAACAAAAACGCGACCGATCAGTTCCAGGACGTTAGAAGGGTGGTGCAGGTGTTTAGGATTATGAGGATACTGCGTATCCTGAAACTAGCTCGACATTCCACGGGTCTCCAATCGTTGGGGTTTACCCTGAGAAACTCCTACAAAGAATTAGGTTTGCTCATGCTGTTCTTAGCCATGGGCGTTCTTATCTTTTCGAGCTTGGCCTACTTCGCGGAAAAAGAGGAGGCGGGCACCAAGTTCATAAGCATTCCAGAGACCTTTTGGTGGGCGGGAATCACCATGACCACCGTTGGGTACGGTGACATCTACCCCACGACACCCCTGGGAAAAGTTATAGGAAGTGTATGTTGTATTTGCGGTGTGTTGGTTATCGCGTTGCCCATTCCAATCATTGTTAATAATTTCGCCGAGTTTTATAAAAACCAAATGAGGAGAGAGAAGGCGCTGAAGAGGAGGGAGGCTCTGGAAAGGGCCAAGAGGGAAGGCAGCATCGTGTCGTTCCACCACATCAATCTGAGGGATGCGTTCGCGAAAAGCATGGATTTGATCGATGTTATCGTGGATACTGGTGAGTTCTGCACGATTCTACATTTTATGCTCTATTATGTATTTATTGCGGAATTCTCTTTGGCTATTGATCAGATTGCGATATATTGTATGATTCACTGTTCTCGAAGACAATCCTTTAAACATACCTTTGGATTGGATCAACCAATTTTCAGATTCTTTCAAGATTGTATATAATAACTCATTTCATTTAGTATAACTTCAGTACTTTTTCGTTATTCCACCTCTCCGACATGATGACCTACAGGGCGATATCTGAATATGATATTTTTCCATAAGTTTGAGATAGCTATTTCCCAAGATGGCATCTCATCAATGGTGCAACAACATATTGACAAATGGACAGTAACAATTAACAATTGAAGTTGTTATATATAATAATGTAGATTCCTTATGTTATTATCTGCATTTTTTGTACGATTTATTTTTTCATTCTCTTTCAAATAAAATACAAGGTGTACCAATTGGAAATTAAAAGGTAGTTTCTGGTCAAGTCGGAGAGTATGGAATACTGCAAAATTGACCAATTCTCGAATCCTACACTGTTTGTTGTCCAGATCATGGAGCATTTGCCTTTGTTTGATCTATTATTGTCCACTTTATTTGAATTTAAACTTTTTCACTTCCATGTAAGTAAGCAATCATCTATATCCTAAGTCAATACCGGTTTTTCCTAGAACCACGAACTTATTATCGGCTGATGATGGGCTTATATATGCCACAAACATGTACCTTGATTGATCTCTGATCATATTAATTGAAGTTGTGGAGATTACTTTGGGTTTTGAACTACACCACTCCACTTTTAGTTGCCATGTACCTCTTCCAAAGATTTAGAGTTGAAGTTGAGTTTATGTTTTTTGAACATATCAGAATGCAATATTTTTCAAAAAAATCCATATATCATACATCCTGTATAAATTCCTTCTGGATCAAAAACCATTTCAGGAAAACTCATTATGGTTCATCAAAAAGTACTGACGTTGCACTCAATGGAACGGGATATTATATAATCTTGAAAGAAATTGAAAGTTGGTCGATCCAATCCAGAGTTATGACAGTTCGAAAATGATAGAAATATTTACTTGTCTCACTTCAAATGTGGGGCAGTTCGAAAAATATCTTCTTGAATATTATATATTTTCAAATCCAATACAATTTTTTCATATAAACCTGTCGTGCTAACAGACATATAACTAACTGCATAAAAACCGAAAGCATTCTACAAATCAAATTGAACGATTTTGACAAGCAATACAATAATCTTCTTCAGTTTATTGATCAGTAATTCAAGTTTCATAATCATTCTGGATGGGCAAAAATATGTTGAAGAATAATCAACAGAAGATTTGATTATAGGAAGTGAAAATGTGCATTTATATTTCTCTTTGTCTTCTAGATAATGTGAACACACTTGATAAATGACTCACATTCAGAATATTTTTGTATCAATTCAACTCCAGTCAGTGTTCTCAAAGATAAATCAATTTATGATGATATATCAGAAATCCTTTTGGGCCTGCATTGATTAAGTCGGTGAGAAGCTGCAAAATATTTTTTTCTAAGACTGGAGCTGTCTGAAAAAGACTTTCGCAATTCAAAAAATATCATTTTTCCTTTCTCCTCAATCAATACCGTTGATATATCATCTTTTGCTGAAAAATGAAACCTACATGATGACTTACGAATACAGAAATGTCTTGAATGTGTTAGCATCAGTATCCCTTCTTATTGCTTACGGTAAACTTTGTATGTCTAAGATGCAGAAATAGCTTCTTTCAAAGATCGTGGTCTACGCGTCATAAACTGAGAATATATTACGTTACTTTCAACCTTGTCTATAAAAACCCCTGAGTGCATCTTATGGTTCAGATGTCACAATACCTTAGTAAGGATGTCTCATTTAATTCACTTGGAATAAGATTTTCCCAACCGCATCTATGAAATAAGTAGTGTTTAGTGTCCAGAGATAGTGAGAAACCTGGCACATCACGGTAAGAACGGAGGATTGAACAGCTCCCGTAAATCCTAATTCCCCATTGTCTTCCTACACTACCTTCCCTTGGATCTACAACAGATTTACCCATGGATGGCATGCATGGGGGATAGATTATTGCTTTCAAAGTCAAAAGGCTGTATGGTTTGTAGTGTTGACTACAGACTACACTCGACCATGACGGTGGCTTTCCAGATCCCAGATCATTCCAAACTCCGACAAGAAAAAAATTCGCATCAAAGTACAGCATGATCAAACTACACGTGTATCTGGATTTGTCTTATGCATAGATTAACGACTCGAGGAAGTACCCCCAACCTATATTCTATAACTGCTGACTCACTTAACATATTTGAAGAAATCTTTGCAAGAACTATTTCTGTATCAGCTTTTCAATATCAGACTTCTCGTTTTGCACCTGTGCTAAGTCATTGTTGTCTCCCTCAACAGGTGAGAAGTGCGCTCTTATCGGTGAAAACGAAGACAATCGCAGACATTCATAAACAAAAAAAAACACCACCATAAGTTCGCTCGTTATCTCCGAGAAGCATGCCATTTCGCTTGTGTATAAGTTCAAAAAGCACACACCGAATTCCCCGAACCATGAAACCGCTTTCTCGATGTTATGTGCACGGCATGGCCACTAGCTGGCGATCTATCGGCGACGCGGGTGCACGGCATGGCACCAGATGGCGCCAGCCGCATCTCGCTGACGGTTGTCTCGTTAGGCCACAATATGTCTCACGCGGACGGCAACAGCACCGAGGGGGAGTCCATCGCGGGGCGGAACCCCGCCCAAACGGGCACCGGCTGCTACAGGAACTTCGACCATTTCCCTCGCCACCGGCGCAGCGACAGCTCCACTCTGCCCTGCCTCCCGAGCAACGAAGGCCCCCCGGGGACAGGGGGGTCGCCCGGCTCGCAGAGGAGGCTCTACGCGATGGTCAGCACGGAGGAGGAGGAAGAGGAGGAGGAGGGGTTGGGGGGAGGGCGGTATCGGCAGAGTCCCGGGCAGGCTGTGGCGCCGCTGGCGCAGGAGGAGGCTAATTTGGTGGGCGGTACGCCCAAAGAGTGCGTTTCGCCAACGGTGAGTTGGAAATATTCAACTTTGATAGACAATTCACTTTTTTTTTGGGAATCATTGATAGATTAGATCAGGCAATTGAATTCCGGGAAGATCATCCACTAGCTGACATTCAACAATCGCAGATGATTCATAAATCCACAAAAAAATCGATGAAATTCAGAAGGTGGAATCTGTGATTATAGGTCTGTAATAGTATATTACACACCGAGGTGGGAAGTGATTCATTCCTGTCGTGAGATTAGTTAGTTAACCGAGACGCAAAGCGTCGAGATGGTCGAGGTTAGCTATAATTTCGAGACAGGAATAAAACTTCCTACCGAGGTTTTATTTACAACCATCATATTTCGATCAAAATTAACGAATCTATGTTTCGTTCTGAACATACCTGAATTATTACATGAGTGAGGACGGGAAGTGAGGGCGAGAAGTAGTGAGGGGCGGGAAGTAGTGAGGGGCGGGAAGTAAGGGCGGGAAGTAGAGGTGTGTAATGTAACACTTCCCAACCTTCAATGACGTTAGTAATGAAAACATTACATATATGGTTGTAAATGAAATCAAATTTCCATCAGCCGGAAAATAGTATACCTACACTTCAACGGTCCACCAGACTACAGCCAAAAGTTAAGGGAACATTTTCGTCAGACCTTCTTTGGACCGATTTGGACGTTTCTTGTTTTGACTGACAGGTTATTTCTTTCTGAACATTGGTGTTCTAACTGCAACTAGCAATTACAGCATGTTTGTTTCATGAACTTTGTGATACCCTGTAGAATGTAATAGTTTCACTATCAAGTTAGAATTGCAACTACACTTCAGCCTCATCTTTTTTCGACATTTCTTTTTTGGATTCACTCCATTATCTTCCTTATTACTCCAGAAATATCATTTTATAGCCTAACATGAATTTCTGGAAAATTAATATCCAAATTCAACAACGAGAAAACGAAACAGAATGCGAAGTCACAAGTTGAACGAAAGGGTCAGTAATGAGTATTTCCGCAGCGGGCACAATTAACTTCTTGGTAAAGACGGCCTGTACCCAAAACAAGAGACCTAATGTCATGATGGTCCAGGTCTTTCCAAATTTGAAACATTAGTCTCTGCCATGCATTTTCCAAAGTATTCAAGTACTCTCCTTATAATCTTGTTCCAAGAATGTCCTAGAGATTCTCAATGGGATTTAAATCCGGGCTCCGAGCTGGCCATGCAATGGTAGCGATACAGACTTACTTTAGATGATTTTTCCAGATTTCTTACAACTCAGGTGACGTGAGGTCTTGCAACAACAAGAATCCTTACACTATATTATGTGGTTCTAAAATCACCAATATGTACCTTTCAGCTGTAAGGCTTCCAACTATGATCAAAAGTTTCATGCTCTTTCGTGCTTATAGTGCCAATTGAATTCAATAAAATAATGTTTTGCTATAAAATTGTGTTTCTGGAAGTTTCTGGAGGAATAGCGAAGATAATGCAGTGAATCCAAAAAAGGAAAGTTGAAGGAAGGGTAAGGCTAGCTGAAGTGTACTTTCAATTTCAACTTGATAACGTAACTGTTACACTAAACAGGGTATTATACTACACCCGATGTTCATATAAAAGAGGTTCTTATATGCGAATACACTTGGTGGTGTGTTAATTTTCTGGGGATGTGTATATGAAGATCTAGTCATGTTATCGCCATGTAGTGGCTTACAAAGTGGTACTACAAGTACTACAGTACTCTCCCGCTCCTGCTGACAATTGGGACCACCCTGTTCATCCTATAAATCTCTTAGTTATGAGCTCTAGTTCAATAAATAGGACCGGTGGATCATTGCACTGAAGTAGTCAGGTAGTGCTAACTCTGAGCAGAGTGGTTTACTTGTAGTACCACTTTTCAACGTTGTAGACGTAGAGGTCTGCACGTACGAAAATGTATCTCAAACTTTTGGATACTTCTTGGTGGTGCGTTAGTTATTTTGGGAAGTGTATATGAAGATCTAGTCATGGTATCGCCATCTAGTGGCTTACAAAGTGGTACAGTACTACAATACTCTCCTGCTCCTGTTGACAATTGGGGCCACCCTGTCCATCCTAAATCGCTTGGTTATGAGATCTAGTTCAATAAAGAGGTCCGGTAGATCATTGCAATCAAGTGGTAAGGTATATATTATATGTGAGCAGAGTGGTTTACTTGTAGTTTACTTGTAGTACCACTTTTTAACGTTGTAGACGTAAGGGTCGGCACCTGTTGACTATAGACGGCATCGTCATACAGTGTATGTCGCGGTCGCATGATCCTACCTTAGAACTATGCCACTAGATGGCGGATAACATGATTAGATCTCCAGGTTATATCTGGCGCTTCCGAAATGGGTGATACACCCGAAGCGTTAAGTTGTCCTAGTTGTCAGCAGACCGAGAGCGCCTGGTGCAGTACTGTCTCGCTGCTGTTGCAATTGGGGCCACTCTGTTAATCCTGCATCTCTTAGTTATGAATTCCCATCGTTCAAGTTTGAACCCCTTGATTGGGTATGACAGTTTCGAAAAGGAATAATCTCAGATATATTTATGAACACAAAAAATGGATATATAAATAAAGAAATACATGTTGAATATACCAAAAAAGAATTAATATTTTGATCAGATAGAGAGAGATACGAATTCTCAATGTATATGTAATCATTGTAGTCGTTGGAAAAACATCAAGATGAAATTTGAAAAATGGATGTATGATCTCTTGTGCTTACGTGTGTGTACGGGGTATATATGATTTATACTTGTTGACGAGGAGGCTACTTTGGGCATTGTCATTCGTATTCGTGGATATACTTTGAAAAATGGCGAAGGTTATTCATGCGAATTTTGGCGGTAGTACCAAATTCGAAGAATAAAAAATGATACCGATAATGAATTTCAGAGATGCGTATAAATATTTTGAACATTTTGAAATATAAGTTACCCACCCGTAAGCAATCCAGCTTTTCATCATATGCAAGCTGGTCGAATAACTCCTTGATTTATGGAGATAAAATCGATGACAGATTTCTTACTTCATATCTTATAATAATCATTGTTCAAAATCCAAAATAGTAGAAGCGAAGCTTTATAAAAACAGTTGAAATATATCGCAACTCTTCCAAATCAAATTTGTGTATATGAATGTGTAATAATTGTAAAAAAAATTATCTATATTATTAGTTCACAATAATTGAAAGACATGTATATAGTCTGAGATTCATTCATCCTTAACCGAATATTGAAAGTTATCATTGATATCGAGTATTTTTTTCTGTTATAGGGTGAAAGTAAGAAATCAGACACCCTCAAGAAGACTGAAAAAATTGAAATGGAGATGCCCGCAGAATTTGAATGTTGTTTTTGCACATCAAAGGTAGTAAATTTTCTATGCATGAATGATATCGATGTTGCTTGAGTTTTCTGAATGTCACTTCACCAAATTCGGCACTAGATATAAATATGACGTGGAACTTTAGGTAAAATGATTTTGAGGCATTTTGGACTTTGATGATTATGGACATTAAGTAGAAGAATTAGCGTAGATTTTACTGTTTGCATGATCAAATAACTGCACAAACACATAAGACACCTCAAAGAATTCAACATTGGTCACTTATTATTGATTATTGTCATGTTATTTAATATCATGGTCGATATTTTTATTGAAAGCAAAAATAAGTTAACATCTGGGGACAAAAAATGCAACATCTTGATAAAAAACGGAGCCTATTAGATAAAAATTCAGGTTGACTGCAAGCCAAAATGAAAAAAAGTACAATTTTGAAGCACTTTGTGTTCCTCAGTGATGAGCTCAATATTGAACAGGGCGATTCTTGGATTCATTTCAAGAATAAAACTTCATATGAACTATTGTCGTGAACGTCCTGACTTTTGAGATACAGGCTATCCAAGTTGAAAATATGAATACAGCATAGATAATTTTTTGTCCACCCTGTATATTTTTTTAGTGATGGCAAAATTCAGTCTGTTGTGTGATTGAAATGATGAAATAGTTTCAAAATGTTACATATTGTGGTTATCCAGTAATGGATTTCCTGAATACTTAGCTGTCTTAGCTTAGCATTTCTTACATTTTTTATCGAAAACGGAGCGTCCTATCGACTATCAACTAGAGAATATTTTTTACACAGAATTGAATAGCCTTCCATAGCATTGTATGAAATTTGGGAATTTTCCTTGGTTGCTCACTTTTGATGAAATATAAATAATAATATCCCCTAACGGCGCCACTGCAGAAAAAATGAAGATTTTTGTACATCAGAGAATGCACCTTGATGCACCGAAGACATGTACCAAATTTCATGAAGATGTCTCAGTTTTTATTAAAAAAAATTGTTTTTTTAACTTTATCATCCTTTATCCGAAAAACTAGGACTTTTAGGACATACGTTCATGTTCATAGGAAGTTATATTTTTAAAATTAGTCAAAGAATCATCCCTTTCAATATTAACATTTTGAGGAAAACCCTGTATGTCTTTGATATGAAATCAAACTCATTATTTGTTAAGTTGTTGAATTCCGAACAGAAGGAAAATATACCATCAAAGTGCAAGGTATACAGGGTGTCCGGAAAGGTCATGTCGTAAATGATACGGCTGATAGAGTATGAGCCAAAATGATGTCAGTACTTCATATAAAAAAGTTGCTACCACACTTCGTTACGCTATACCGGGTGACACAGGAGACATGTAGCAGCCTGTAGTTTTTTTATTTTAAGAGATAAAATTTTGAAATTCACAGGGGGTATATAATAAATGATAGCGCACTTTACGAACCTAACGACAATTTTTTTCAATCACCTATTTGACCGGAAGTGACCCCAACTTTTTTTTTAATGTCACCCTGTACATTTCTTCAGTCTATCTTTTTCGCCTTTAAATTCTCTATCCAACCATGTATCACAAAGAGGCATTCATTTCTTAATTCGCTAACAATATATCGACTTTTTCGTTTCTTGAATACATTTTCCGCATCTATTGATAATATGCAATTTTGATCAACACACAAATGAAGAAGAAAAATAATTGATGCAATCGTCAAACACATAAAACATTTTGTGTAGGTACACCGCCTACTAAGTGAAATAATTATGAAAAAATAGACTGATAGCCCTGTGGATCATCGTATAAGAGGAACAATTTTAGTTTTCTTATCCCAAATGGAAAGATCATGTGATAGGTACATGGCGGAAATAAAAGACAGATAGTTTCTGTACGAGTAGCGGAATTCGAAAAAATATGTTCCTATCTTAGATTTCTCAAAATCATGAGTTATTTTCGAAGGTTTTCATCTTGACTCAAACAAGCTATTGACAACCTGCAGACATTGATCAGAATATCAAAACATTTCGAATAATATCGGTTTACTAATGATATTTAAATTTCTAAGCCTACCAAGTGTCGATATATGATCGAATTCATGTCACAGCCAACTTATTCTTTTTTAATAAAAAGCAATTCAACAGCGAATTAAGAAATGAATGCCACTTTGTGATACATGGTTGGATAGAGAATTTCAAGGCGAAAAAGATAGACTGAAGAAATGTACAGGGTGACACGTGAAAAAAAAGTTGGGGTCACTTCCGGTCAAACAGGTGGTTGAAAAAAATTGTCGTTAAGTTCGTAAAGTGCGTTACCATTTATTATATACCCCCTGGGAATTTCAACATTTTATCTCTTTAAATAAAAAAACTACTGGCTGCTACATGTCTCCTGTGTCACCCGGTATATTGACCTTGATATGATAGGATGGGACAATTTTTTTCTGTTTAATGGAAGCATTTTTGACATAGGTGAGAAATTTGACATTTTGCTTCCACCGTTTGATTGCTTCATCTTTTTTCTACAAACATAGTATTATTTATTTGAATCGATATCTTGTACCGTTCTAGAGAAAGTTGTATTTTAAAAACATTCATCCCAACCACTTTAAAGGTAATAAAACCTCTTTTTCTGGACTATCAAAGCAATAACCTTACAAATTCGTTGTTTACAATTTACATAAGGAGCTAAAATTTCGAATTTTATAATGTTTTCTGATCTGGAAGATACTGGGTTACTTTTATTCACAATTATTCTGTTGATTGCAATCGTTTTATGTTGAAATAAATTTCATAACATCTGTCAGATATCAGGTCTGACATTGGTCTGACCAATCCATGCCTTCTCTGCCAGTCGATGAAACCAATCCGCGATCATCTGCGTACTATAGTTGCGCACTAGAAGAGAACATGGTTCAAAGTAAGAAAGTTAAAAGTTTGCCAACTTCTTACTTGTTACTTGTTAATTGATAATTGTTAAATGTCTGCATAAACATCTACATTGAAAACAGGAAGTTCAACTTTCAATTGCTACTTGTTAAATGATAAATGTTACTTGATAATTGTTAAATGATGCTGCATAAATCCACCTTTAATTTAGTTGCCCGAATATCATTGATACAATGGCAACCGTTTGAAAGTTATACATGAAACAATTTTTTTATTCAAACTTTCAAGGTCAATAACTCCGTAACGAAGTGCGAAGACATTTTTTTACATGAAGTACTAACACTATTTTGGTTCTCTCTATCAGCCCAATCATTTACCACATGACCTTTCCGGACACCCTGTATATATTCATATACGAAAGATCTCACTTAATTTGAATGAAATATAGGTACAATAATTGAGAGATGAAAAGGAATTGAGAGTAAGGAGAACTTGACAATAAATCTGCAATTTATTCTTAACACGAAACTCTTTGACTCTATTTATCTCTCTCTATTCAGTTAAACCTTCTGTGAAAAGAGTTGATGCTATCGAGTCTGTCTTAGTTAGATATTTCATTTAAGACTAGAAAGGGTGCCAATTTGTACTTCGTGTCAATTTTCGGATCTTCCTTTAATCTCCCGAAATCCGAGATCTAGCATTTAGTGAGTCCATAAAGTAGTTATATCATTACTGATTACAAAAACATTAATACTGAACTACTTACTTACTCTGAACACGATTCCGAGAATTCGCATTTCACTGACAAATCTTGGGATATTTTGTTAAACGATGTTTACTTGGTAATTTGATCAGGCCGATTCGAATATGACCATTTTTTATCGGTCCTTGAAATACATGTAATTCGCCAAAACGAATAGGTCATGCAAATGGACTCTGACAGATGTTTTCGTTCAGTAGTATGTAATATTATTTTTGAATCTGCGATGATTTTCATACGCAGAACTCAGATGTAATGACAAGATTGTGAGAGATCGTTGTCAGATCAAAGACAGGAATTCGACCCATCATGATGAGAGATTTTTATGATATTGAGGACACATTAGAATCGTTGTACTCGTTCCAAATTTTCGAATTTGGATGACTGCGATTAAAAAATAGTTATGATAGAGAATTCAAATGTCGTATCAATATTAAGAACACTATATTGACGATATCGAACTGGAAAAGTTCAGCGGTTGAAAGTTCCAATTACTAATCAAATGAGATAGTACCCATTCGAAGACCATACATCATGAATTCAATAAAAACTTACATGCCTTCTAGATTTCCTGTATAGAGCTGTGAGAAATCCTCAAAAAATAGAGTGATGAGGTAGGATGCTATCTTGTACTGAATGATCTTTCAGAAAATGGCACAAAACACCTATACGATATTTCGGTGTTATTTTGATTAATTTATCAAGAAAGATTCATCAAGTAGGTATGATTTATAGTCATATAAAATTATCACTATCGTTATTATGATCATTCCTTTCAAGACTGATTGTTAATGTGAACTTTCCGTGCTTATTCATTTATACGCCATACAACACGCAATGTACTTACACAAGATGCTAAGTGTTTCCATTATCCATTCTAGATAGAGTATATTTCAACTGAAGAAATTTGTAATGATATGAAAAATTTTAAGATGAGTAGAATATAACAGTATATTTGCGAAAAACTACAAACAATGGCTATAGGTCTTTCAGCTTTAAAGAATTAGGATTGTTTGCTTGAATTTTTCAAGGATTATATTATTGCAAAATACGAAATAGGTTGTACAGCGCAGGCAAAAGGTCTTTTCGGAAATTTACCCTGGTTTGTTAGCTCGATCCAGAGAGGTCACGTGACAAAAAAACTCGGATCACCTACTCGTGTTCAACGTTTACAAACGTGTCTCACACGACATTTTTTTCATTATTATTTTGTCGTCGTGGAGTGGTAAACCCCTGGTGACCCTATTTTTGAGTGGGGTCACAAAAAATTAACCCGAGTAAGTTGTCACGATATAATAGGGAGGGTTAGTCCATTCATGTCACGATAAGAGGGCTGTTTCCACCATAATATTCTTTTTATGGTCTGGTTCCCACGAAGAAGGA